CCTTCAACACAAGGGGCAACGACCATCAACTTGGCCTGGATTTGGACCTGGCAGAGGAAAGAAGGGAAATAGCCGCCTTGAGAATAGCCAAGTATCAGGAAAAAATTTTGAATTCACAACAAAAGAGTCAAGATTCAAGAGTTTTGAATCGGCGATTTGGTCCTCAGAAGGATAATGACCAGTACCCGTGATCTAGCAGAAGAGAAAATGAGATCTAACTGGGAAAGATCTTACAAAGTGGTATCTGTATGAGACTCTGGATCATATAGATTAGAAGATATGAGAGGAAAACCTGTAATACGACCTTGGAATGTGATAAATCTAAAGAAGTACTATTTTTGAGTGTTATTTCCCTCAGTGCTTATCAACAGCTAAATTATAAGGGTAAGGCTCAGGGGGTAGAGTTCAAGGACTCCTGCCTCTGAATGAAAAACAGGAGCAAGCCACTTGGAAGGGTAAGACCCTAGAGGCAAATTCAAGGACTCCTGCCTCCGAATGAAAAACAGGAGCAAGCCTCCTGGAAAGGTAAGACCTTGGAGGCAGAGTTTAAGGACTCCTGCTCCCGAAGGAAAACAGGACTAAGCCTCCTAGAAGGGTAAGGCCCTGGAGGCAGAGTTCAAGGACTCCTACCTCCGAATGAAAAGAAGGAACAAACTTCCACAAAGGGTGAGACCCCGCGGGTGTGCACGGTCCTTAGCAATGATGAAGCTAAACCAATCGGACGGGCCAGCCAAACTGTTCCCCAGGTGTCGGGGCTATCAAGGTCTTTCAAACAAAAAGAAAAAAGAGAGAAAATGTGCGTAATGAAATGCAAGTACTCATAAAAAGCTTCATTTCAAAAGAGGGGCTTTGCGTCCCTGAGAGCTACAAGAGAAGGAGTACAGTTCAAAAAAAAAATGAAAAATAAAAGTTTTCATCTGGCCCCCGGCATCTCCAACACATCGTTACAAGGCGAATCAACGCAAAAGGGTTGAGCAGCTTCGAGATCAAGCAGAGCTGGGACTGAATGAGCAGCAGGAAGATTCTGAGGAATATTGTGGTTGGGAGCTAAGTCCGGTAGAACCTCATCGGATGGAACCAGAATCACCGCCTCGGGTGGGTCTGCCAAAACCATCAGCGTTGGAGTCGCACACTCGACAACAATCTCAGCCTCGGCCTGTGCCATCTCTGCCGATGACACATAACTATGCATCTGGAAGAATGGGGAGTCTGGAAGGATACCGGCAGCCCGGAGTGCCTCGTCCCACCCCTTCTTAAAAAACTTCTTACTGTTCTCCTCGAGGGCAGGTAGCACGTCGTCGACAAACTCCTCTCGGATTTGCTCCTCGGACTTTCTTTTCTCCGCCTCGGCCCTGATCCTGTCCAGCTCCTGGGTCAGAGCCAGATAGTTCTCCTCTGACTGCCCTCTCCTCTGCCGCAGAGAGCCGTTGCGTCTGCTGCGTGATCCTCCTCCCAGCGTCGGCCAAGGCAGCACTTAACTTTTCAACGCCGACCTTCGCCGATTCGCTATCCATGAGGAGTTACTCAATCTGAGTAGCCTGCCCCGCGAGGGTGGAATCCCTGGCAGCTACATCCTCCTTAGCACTGTCCAGGGCTCCCTCGGCCTCTTCCTTCTATTCTTGGATCCGCTGGAGGTTCATCCTAGCTGCATGATATCGCACAGCGATTATAAAAATCTGTTGGGAGGCCTGCGAAGGACTTGTCAATTAAAAGTAACGCGTCAAGAAAAGACTGAAACAAATGAACTTACCACCAGAGAATTCTGAATGATGGAACGGAACAATGTGTTCGTTGTCCGCCCCCTATGAGCCTCCATGTCGGCCTCGAAATAGAGTGTCTCGCTCACTGTGTTGGCGACATGGGAGTCCTGTAGAATGGAATCATCGACCCTGATCACCTGGTTCATATGATTAGTGGCCCGAGGATTCCACTCTACGACTTCTACCGTCTGCGGAGGGGGAGTTGGAGTCTGCCTCTGCTGCTGTTGTTGTTGCCTCTGCTACGGCTATTGCTGTTGGGGTGAAGGGGGTAACCCACGTCTTCTCCCGCTTGGCTGCCCAGGCCTTGGATCCCCTGCTCGGACCGTCGTGCCTTTGCTTGGTCCTCCTCTCCTCCTCGACTTGAGGGTCTCGGTCCCGCACTTGACCCCCAACCAGTGGGCCTCGGAATCAAGGGATTGACATTGGTACCTGTTGATGGGGCGCTACTGGTTGACCCCCGTCCTCTCCCGGCGGCAAGGGCCTGCCTCTGCCTCAGGAATCCCAGGTCGATGTGAGGCGTGTGCGATATGGCTACCTCGAGGGTGTCCTTTGCGTCTAGGGACTGAAGGATCTGGAAGTCGGGCCACGAATCTCTCCTTGAAGTCCCCACATCGGCGTGCAAAGGAACCAAAGCCTCTCTGGCCCTGAACTCCTCAACTTCAAGGACACCCTCGATTTTTGCCTCGGTAGCCCTGTCGGGATCTTCCTCCAAGTTCTCCTCGGCCTCTTGTTGCATAGCCTGATCGAAGAGTTCAGACCACCGCAAAGGCTCAAAAGGCTAGAAGAGCTGTGAGAACTTTTTATACCCAAGAGTGTAGTTCAGGAGGATGTGAGCAACCCGGTTGAACCCGTCGTCACCAACAAATCTCCAAATAGTGACTAGATCAGCAAAGTTCACCAAGGACCGAGGAGGAGGGGCAACTTCCCGGGCAGAGACGTCTGTACAAGAAAGAATGTTATTAACACTTCTAAAAAAAAAATTCCAAGGACAAAAATAGTAGACTCAGAGAGGCTGATATACTTGTCGTTCTCTATTCAAAAGGGCACATCAAGCCACTGTAATCGGGACCGGTCCCCCGCTGCCAGGATCCACTGAAGATCAGAAGGTCATCCTTGTATCTTTTGTCCGAGTCAGGGAGGTGAGTTACAAGGTACATGGAGGGATCCCTAGCTTTGAGGTAAAAATTCTACGGAGGCATGACCCTCAACAGGGAGTAGTAAAAAAGATATCGTTGAGCCCAACGTTTATCCCAAGACGGTTGTTAAGCTCTAAGACCCCCATTATTATCCTAAATACGTTAAGGCAACACTGCCCTGGGAAGAGTTTGAAATGGGCGAGGAACTGGAGGAGTAGAGGAGGCAGGGGCAACCTAATTCCACCCTCTATGATTGCCTTTGTGAAAAATGACATCTCATTCTCGACCCTGACAGTACGGTTATGCAAAACTAGGTCGTACTCATCTATACCTACGTTTGGGGGAATGCGGTATCGAGCCCTAAACCTATTAATCTGCTCCTCTCCCTTCACTTTGTACTTCCCTGGCCTTGAGGAACTGGCCTAGGGATCCTCGGTGACAGGCCGACGTTGGGGCATCTCCAAAGAAGATAAAAACTAAAGAGGAAGGACAGTTTTTTTTACGAAGATCCCCTAGGGGTTTCCTAGAGGTTGGTCACAGAATGACAACCAGAAATACTTTCGATTATCGGAGAATCAAAAAAAAAAACACAAAAAAGGGAAAGAAGAAGAGAAGAGGAGACAGAAGGGTGGAGAGAAGGAAGATACAATGACTCACTAGAACGTGAACGAAGGTTTTCTTGAAGACTTGGAGTGGTTCCTTCCTCTAGGAGGTTCAGAAGCAAGGATGAGTCTGCTGGCCTTAAGACTCTGGTGAAGATTGGTTTGTAGACAACGTAAGGAAGTGGGTCTCCGGCGAGATTTTAGGCGAGGGCTTTCTCAAAAGTTCGAAATGACAAAGTGTGAAAGGGAGAGAGAGAACCCATTTATATAGTACCCATCCCCATCATTGGGGCACGAAACATGAAGAGGCGTATTTAATACGCATAACCTCCTAAGCGGGGAAAAGCGGCTAGAGACAATGATGAAGTGGTTGAGGTAGTTGCAGAACCCTTCATTTCCTTACGACGCGTGTCCTCGGCGTCAGAAGATTGAAGGCTGGGGGCAGTTGATGGGATATTTTCCAGACACTCCAAGATAGTGACACGTGTATTCGGTGTCAAAGAAATACTCTCTACTGTGATCACGACACATGCTCGTCAGATCATGATCCCTCTTCCCCCGAGGAGGGGACTATGCATAAGGATCTATGACGCGGTATGCACGCGGGGGGGGGGGGGGGGCGACACTTATCCCCCGGTCGAAATTAGGGGGGGTACATCTGCCCCTAACCGTACTAGCCCCTCGGCACCGAGGTGTATCCATTACATCGGCGTTTCTGTTCTTACAGGGTTATTGATAGACAGATTACCAGCCTAGGCTAGGCTAGATTAGCCATCATGACCTGGTCTTACCTAGATAGTATCAGGACGTACAGGAAAGTAGAAGATTCAACCAAAAGGGAGCTGACACGTGGCGTACCGTGTCAGATCAGAGAAAAAAAGACCAGAATGCCCTTGCTGACACACGACTTGGAAAAACAAATATTTAATGCACCTTTCCCTTGATGAAACAACATTTAATGCGTGAAGACCCAGAAGTGAAAGACAATGAATGTTCCTGTGACGAGCATTTAATATATCCCTGCCGAGTGAAGGTCATTAAACGCTCAACAGACTGAGGGTGATGCATTGGTTGTTCGGGGTCCCGAACAGTTAAGGAAGGTGTCATTTCTCCTAAAAACCAGTGCGCATGTTACCCACCTCTAATGATCACCTACTGACCATACTGACAGCAATCATGAATTTTTAAGGTATAAATACTCCTCACAAAACGCATAATGAGGCATGCAATAAACCCTCTCTCAACCTTGATACAGTGTTCTCTTCTTGCCCTCTCTTAAAGAATTGATTTGGTCGTCGGAAGGGATACGCCGAAAAATACTCCGACGCCCTTCTAACATGTTTTTATTTGTTCCAGGAATCCCTTCAGTTTTTTAGGATCACTCAGGCGACTCATACCAACGATTGATTATCCACCTTCGACCCCCACAACCTGTTCAACTAGCAAAATCAACCACCCAATTTTGGATACGTGTTCACCACGGAAAATATCTGTCTTCGTGTTTATATTTTGTCAGATCTTGCACGCACAATATCCCTTTTGTCCATTTGACGGCATATGTCTGAGGAATTATTTGCTGTAAGCGTAACCATAGACAACCATCCCTTGTCTGACAAAAGAATGTCAGCAATAGGCAATATCTTATCAATAACACTCCGGCCATTCTCCCCTCCAGCCCAAGCAGTGGCAATCCCACCACGACCTACTTCCTCTGCAGGTGTTGGCACATAAGGTGGGTTCACGATGATCACATCCACCAATCCTGCCAATCGCCTCGCTAGTCCCGAGGCAATGTCAGTAGTTATCAACGGTGCATCAACCCCATGCACGTCCAGAGTCTCGCGCGTCACTTTCACTGCATGAGGGTTGATGTCTGTGGCAATATAGTAGGCTCCATTAGCCTCCTGTCCAAGTATAAGAGCCAGGGAAGTGATAATGTACCCACTAACACAACCAATTCCATGCTTAGTGTAGGACGGTGTTCTAACAAGTTGGTTCGATCAGCTAGCAGTGCATCAACCAAGGCAAATGAATCATCACATGGTTCATAAACTTCAGGATGTGAACTTACAAAGCGAATCTGGGCAGTTCTGGAAGGCATCTTGCTTAATTTTGCCACCAAATAAAAAGCTTGTGAGGGCTTGATAAGACGTAAGGATATTGAAATATCCATCTTTTGCTATATTGACATAAATAACTTCAACTAATTAAGTGCTATGAAAAAAGTATTTTTCGAAATACCTCAGTTTACTTTGAACTCACCGGTGAAATTAGATAAAAACACAAACAAATGCACAAGGAATGAGACACTACTGAATAGATTGCCATCATCATAATCACCATATTATAAAATCATGCGGCTGATATCATAATGTGGTATAATCAAGGTATAAAATAATCCACAATTGAGGTGTCTACCTAACTTTTTGAATGATTATTTCAAATTAGTCACCAATCGTATCCTATACCAAATCAACTCCTACCAGAAATTTTTTTTTTTTTTTTTTTTTTAATTGGAATCAAAACGATTTATTGATTCAAAAAGATTACATCAAAATTTGACAAATGGTGGCCAAAAGTGTAACCTAAAAAAGTAAAGCAAAACAAAACATCATTATACAATTTGTGAAAGCTATGAATCAAATGAAGATTTCCATCCTGCCAATATGCAAAAAACAGAATTCCTTCCAACTCCTTTGTAACCGACTCTCAAAAAAATGCCAAAAAATAGATCTTTTCCCATAAGCCTTCCACCCACGCATATATTCCAAATATATGAGCATTTCTCTCCTTCTATATTTAAAGGAAATTTTTTTTTATGGTAAGGTATTGTGAAATTTTTTTAAGATAAAATTTTTTTTCCTTTACCCCACTACCTTATCATAAAAACTTTCTAATCATTTTTTCAATGTAAATGGCTATCTTACTAGGCATCTTTATTCCGCATCTTAAAGAGAGATAAAAAGTTAGTGGGTATACTGACTAAATCAAGCCATCAGCCACCAAAAAAATGGAGAAAGAGAAGCACCATGTCCCAAACCTCTAGACGCCTTAGAACTCTTAAGTGTTATGAATTCAATCATTACCAAACACCCAATAATCCATTTTCTCCATCCACTTCCAAATCCTGAATCCGCATGATCGTAGGCCTATTCAAAATCTACTTAAGAAACAATACCATCCTTTGCTCTTGATTTATAATCCTTCACCACCTTATTGGCCACAAGAGCCACATCTAAACTTTATCGTCCTTTAACAAAAGCTCATTGGATTTCTAAAATAGTCACACCAAAAGTCTCTCTCAATCTCATGGATAACATTTTGGCCCAAAATCCAAAATGGCCTAAGATTCTTTGTTTTCAAGGACTTGTCGTTTTTCGGGATAAGATAATGTATTTGTTATTGCATTAATACCACCATTTTAGTAAAATTCAGTAAATTAGCAAAATCACATCCAACAATCGTAATAAACAGCCAATGTGAATCCAACTGAGTCTACAGCCTTATCCTTACTCCACGCAAAGAGATTTTTTTTCACTTCCCCCCCCCCCCTCCAAAGGCTTCTCCAACCATCCTGCTCTACCCCTATCCAAAAGATTCCACTCTAAACCTTCCAATATAGGCCTAGGATGCGCAATGAAAACACATTTGAAAAGAATATAAGGATCTTACTTTCAATGTTTCCATCATCCTCGATTATCCCTCCATTTTATAACTCCAACTTATCATTCTGTTTCAACTTTTTTTTCCCACCCATTTGCCACTTTATGGAAAAATTTAGAATTATTACCTGATTTGATCCATTTCACTCTCGCTTTTTGCCTCTAAATAATTTCATATTTCCTATTTTTTATCTAAACTCTCACCATCTTTTTAACTTATCAATTTCTTCAACTCTAAACTTATGGGTAGGTCTAGTGAGCCCAGGCCTAGAAATGTTTCACCACCTAAAGGCTCACTAGCTAGGTTGAAGAAGACTATATCTACTCCAAAGATTAAGATTGACTTGGAGACATTTGGAGAGAAGAGAGTTCCACACATTCCTCATGCTTTTATTTTTTTTTTTGGATCAGGCACTATTATAGTGTAAAGGAACGACGAGGTTTGAACTTGCGACCTTACGATCCAACAATGGAGACGGTGATAATTAGACCAACCGCCAACCTCCTCCATTCCTCTTGCTAACTTGAGAAATAGGCATGTAAAATCAGTTTGGATTTGAAGTAAGGATTTTGAGAGACTCATTGCCTTGGTAATATTAAAATCATAGCTTTAAAACCCGGCCCGGACATCAATCCAGCAAACAGACCGGGTCAATGGGTCACTGGTTCAATCGTTAGGTCATTTGTCGGACTAGTAATATAATAAAAAATTAAAAAATAATTATAAATACTAATAAATAGGCTAAAAAATCACAATAATTATAAAAATAACATCAAACATGTAAAGTTAAGTAGAGAAAAATAATCAAACATGTATCCAATTTCAATGTATTCAATTTTCAATACAACTTGTAAAGTTAAGTAGAGAAAAATAACTCTATTGAAGTTCAACTGGATTCAACACTCCCAAGTCTAAGTCCAACTCTTCAACAATGCATCAATCTAAGTATAATTCATGTAATTTGCACTCTTCAAAATACAAACTTCAAATTCAGACTGTAATAAGCAAGACACATGAAAATAAAATGAAGCACATGAGCATAACATAAGGACTCAACTAAATGAAACTGAAAATAAATTATTCAACCACTGCCTAGTTCCACTTGAATATAAATATTACCACTATTATCAATTAAATGATTAACTAATCTACAACCCAATTATATATAATGAACAACAAGAATCCCAAACAAGCCACAAGTTCAATACCACAATTCATAATGCTCTTACTGCAATAAACAATCCTCAAGTTCACAATCTTGTAGCTTATTTTAAAAAATAATAGCTTCTACAAATCAAATTGCGTCACAGTTAGTAAAATAATCAAACACTTAATTTAGAATTCTGCAAATCAAATAGATACAAATTAAGAGCGTTAGGGACCACATTGACATATTTGATTAATTGAGATCGTCAATAAGAATCCTTATCTCGTCTTTACAAAAGTCCCAACCTAAGTGATGAAGAACTTTCCTATAAAGATAGAGCCACCGGCTGCCTTGACTCGAGTCAATCAGAAACCACTACAAAATTTTCTAGGAAAATAAGAAAAAGGAAAAAGTGTGAGAGATAGAGAGTGCTTTCTCTGGTGGAGTCAATAGTCAAGGAATCCACACCATGTTCGCACTAAATAAAATTAGAAGAAGCCTAAAGACTTTTTCACAAACTACCACATCACTAATATTTTAATTTCTTCAGTCTAGCTAAAAGAGGTTGATCATTTGTGGCAATTGTAGCACAATATATAGAAAAAAACAGCAAAATGTTGGTGGACCTTGCTGCTCGATGCGAGTCGATGATGATCAGTCAGTGGAGGACTCGATGGTCACTAGGTGGAGTTTGATCTGATGGATGGAGGACACAATTAGACCACTGGTGCTGGTTGGAGGGTGGACTGGAGTTGATGCTGCCTGCGTGCTGTTGGAAGTTGGACTGAGTCGCTGTTGCATGCTGGGGGTGGCTGGATTGGGTCGCTGGAGTCGATGTAGTGTTGCCTGCTGGGGGTGGAGGCTGGAATCGCTGATCTGGTTTGGTCTGTCTGAAGCGATTTAGGGCAAAAAAAAAAAAGGGCAAAAACACAAAATGCCCAAAAAGTGCAAAACAATTGAGATTTAACTCGTCCGATTTGTGATTAAAAAAAAAAAAACTTGTTTGGTTCACACGGGTTCATCGATTTTTGACCGGTTCAACGATTTGATCCCAGTTTCCATGCATAAACAATCTTTTTTTTGAATCGGCCCGGTTTCAGCACTAGTTCACTGGTTAATCGGGTTAACCCGTCAGACCGGGCTGGGCTGGGTTTTAAAACACTGATTGACTATCGAGATAGTTGAATCACCTGAGAAGTAAGTGAGGTTGGGGTGTGAACCTAGATGCACATGCGTGCATTGCATCTTATGTTCCAAGGTCATGCATTGTAAATATTATTTATTGATTTTTCATTTCATAAATTGAAAATTACAAAAAAAAAAAAAAATCAAAAAGAGTTTTGATGTTTAGTTGGGCATCCTTGTAGGACTTACTCTTAGTTGCTTTGTTTTTCTTTGTTATTGCATGTTATGCTTTGTTTTTATGTTGTTAGAGTTCTTATTTTCTATATTGGACATAAGTTAATTAGTGTAGTATAATATTGTCATTATCCAATCAATTCAAGTGGATATTCAAACGTGAGTTGGCATTCGAACGTTCTTGGCATGGTCCAAGCTTTTCTAATTTTGCTCTAAAATATGCTGGTATTGCATGAAAGTTTGATATTCATCGCCTTTAGTCCCTTGTACAATTTATGGCCTAAAATGTCATCATTTAAATTCCATCAAAGTATAATTAGTCTTAAAAGAGCATAGTAATATGCTAATTTTAACTACTAATCACAGTCTCCATCCTAAATATTGCTAGTTTCTAGTAATACAATAACAATGGAATGTAAATCTATATCTAATGCCTTTTTTTGTAAGTCAGCCGGTGGCATTTAGCATATGCAACAAGCCGTTGAACCACTAGGTTTACCCTAGTGGATGAGTGTTGTCTGGTGAGGGGTTTCAGTGAAGCTACCCATAAACTTCTGTCGAACAAATGTGTATGTAAGATTACTAGTTGAAGTAAGTTAGCATCATGGTCGTAAGATTACTAGTTGAAGTAAGTTAGCATCATGGTCGTAAGATTACTAGTTGAAGTAAGTTAGCATCATGGTCGTTGGGACACCCAACCCTCAATTTTGACTTACATCTCGCATGCTCCTCTTTCATAGGTATTTATTCTATGTAAAAATTGGCATCAATCACGTTGGCATTTGGAATTACCCGTGTAGTAGGAATGATCATTCCAGAAACAAGAATTGTTACATAACAAACATCCCACTTTACCACATTCCGTGGTTAGCTTTGATTTCACAAACCTTTCTTAGAAGTTTCCTCAGCAAAAATTCGCCCTGGTTGTAGTGACTTGTCTCTCAAAGAGCATGTGATCAGAAGATTGTCAGTCGAAAAATCACATGCACAGTTAGAAAGAGAGT